GGTTTCAGGTCCTGCAACTCGCTCAGATAGGTAACCTGTGTGGGATGCAACATAATGGATAGATTGAGAGCGTTCTGTCTTACTCGCCTCCAACGCTGCACCATACAACCTTTGTATCCCTTGTTTGGAATAAGCAGACAGAGATTTCCAGAGTGGGGAGTGAAACAAGACGTAATAATTGATTGTTAACGCTTTGACCATAATTATTTAACTCCGCAGGAAACGATTGACTCAGAGGTCTGAAATTCGATACTGCGTTTTGCAGCAGAAAGTCACAGTTTAGACCACAATAAATTGTGTAAATAACTTTACTCATTCTGAGCGTCACAATCACATCTGAAATGGAAGTTTTTCGATGTTGCGCTCTCCTATCAATGCACTCCACAAACAATTTCCTGCTTGTTTGAGCTTCATTACTTAACTAATGAATGAATAATTTATACGGGTTTGAGAAGAAATGGTTTGTATATCCCGTTGGGTGATTTTGTATGGTTGTCGAGAAATAAAATAGCAGTGTGTTCTCATGTTTAAAAGATGGAATTATCGTTTGTTTCGCTGTAGTCCTGCGATCAGGGTAGTTTTGCAGCTCAAACATGTAACAGCAAATAAATTCCAAGTATATTCCAGGAGTGGTATGGTAATGTAGTACTAGGTAACAAAGTGAAGGTGAGTAAGTGAGTCATCCAAACGTCTTTTAAATATGAATGGTGATGGTGCGGAAATGACCGATTCTGGAAGAGCATTCCACGGGTGAAATACACGGAGGGAAAAGAAATTCCTGGGGCAATTCACGCGACTGCACAGTTCTGCCAGTTTTAAGGAGTGACCTCTCAAGTAGGTACTAATGTTTAGTTGCAGTAAAGAGCAGCATACATGATGTGGATCGCTCAGAATTATATACACCATTGGCAACTCATCACCTAAACGGCGGTAATGTCCGCTGAGCACCCCCCCATTCGTTCCAACCTCTCCTCGTATGGAAGATGGTGCATTCCAATTATATAATTTGATGCTAGATGTAGAGGCTGCTCCAATTCACCAAGGTTGTGTTTTAGCCATAGGTGACAGGTTCGACCTGCGTAGTCGACATGAGAACTCACAGACGCAGTAAGCACACACCGGAAAATGGAGCGAGCTATTTGTTCGAACACTCGTGGCAACAGGCCCACATGTTGATTACTAGTTTTGGAGGGTTTCGCGGATTGCCTGGAACAACCCAAATCATCCTGAACCAGTACGCCCAAATCACGTCCGGTGGCAGTTGACTGAAGCACATGCGTTCCGAGCATGTAACAGTGGTTGCCCTGGTACCGTATGGAAAGCACAGTGCATGTACTCACATTGAATTGCAATGAATTTTGGATGGACCACTGATGTACCGTGTTTAAATCGCTCTGAAGCAGTTGCTGGTCAGTATTCCCCTGAACTTTGCGCCACTTCGTGATGTCACTGGCAAACAGCAGGCAGTTAGATGTACTTGCCTGCGGCAGGTCAGTGATAAATAGGAAAAGCAATCGGCACCTAGCACCGAGTTTTGAGGCACACCACATTCAACTTGTATGGGTCTGAGAAGGAGCTCCGTACTCTGACCACCAATGACTGCGGAATGAGGTAGTTGACGATCCACCTAAGGAGAGGGTAACCGATCCCGTAATGCTGTAGCTTGGAAAGGAGTATCTACTGATCTAGACGGTCGAATACTTGCGAGAAATCCAGGCAGCTCATATCAACATCCTCTCCAGCGTCAGCTGACTGGGTCCAGCTACTCGGTGCTAGTAGCAAATTTGCTGTGCACGATCGATTCCGACGGAAGCCGTGAGACACTTAGATAATAATAATGTTAGAGTTTTCTCAATAGCCCACCAGCGCATCGGCTATGATGGATTCCATCCCCTTGGACAGTATGGGGAAAACGGAAACTGGACGATAGTTTGAAGCCTTGGTTCTGCTTCCGCCTTTGTGAATGGGTGTTAGTAGTCTAAGCTTCCACATGGCAGGAACTTGGTTCTGGTCTAAGCAGCGCTGGAAGAACTGAGCCAGTCACTCTGCCAGTTGATCTGCTGCTGCTCTGAGTGTTTCTGGGCGAATAGTATCGACACCCGCGAATTCATGCTTGCGTAGAGTGGTCAGCTTCTGCAAGACAACTTTGGTAGTAAAGGAGATACGAGTAAGTCCCGGCCGCGGGACGATAAAAGCTGGATGATCTCCTGAGGGTAATACCTTCTGGAAGGTGAGGCATATTGCATCCGCAGCGCGTTCGCGGCTCACGTATCCGTTCGTGTTGTGCTACCAGCCGTCGTGAGTGGCGGAACTCCTTGCCTCAACTTTCTTAGGCCAATGACGTGCTTATACTGCAGTTTGTGACCTGTTCTGAAGGTGTTGCCATGTTCTGCTGTTGCGCGGCTTTATCCGCTCTGAACAGTTGAATGCAGCGGTTTCGCTTCGCCACGTAGTCGACCCAGCTTTCTGGTGTTGGGGAAAATCTATACTCTCACTACGCAGCGTTTCGTACTGCCAGCAATTTTCGAGTGCTGCTCCCTACGTAAGTAACTGTTTCAGACCGTTTTCAAACTTTTGCTTCTGAAGCATCCGTAACCAGCCGACTGAATTTTTTTACGAACTCGAACCAGGCGACGTCTTGGGGGCTTTGGCGAGAAACGACCAGGTTGTGGCACTGACGAGGTGGGCTAATCGGTCGTACCATGTAATGGTTCGTGCCGTCTCATGGTGCGCATCTCGATATTCTGCATAGCAGATGAAGTTGAAACTAATGACTTCATGGTCACTACGACTTAACGGGAAGTTTACAACCGACGTATCAATCATATGTTCTTCGTTGGTAAGCACTAGATCAAGTACAGAGTGCCTAGTACCAGTTCTGAACAGAGTGGACGAAGTGACATGATTATAAAGCAGAACACTGGTTACAAGCGTCTGCAGATCGGCGTTAAATTGTTCGCCGCTTGTGTCAGTGGTTTCTAAACAATGCACATTGAAATCATCCATGGTCAAGAGGTGAGTATATCTTCCTTTTAGAGTTCGCCGTAGGACAGTCGCAATTTGGTAGTCCGTTTCAGATGTAGCGTTGGGAGGACAATACAACAAGGCCATAAAACAAGTGTCTCTGCCATTTAACTGTAGGCGGCACTAAAGAGAATCAGCGAATCAGCGAAGCTGAATCCTACAGGACCTCCCACTGTAAGTCGCATCGGTAATACAGAATTACCCCTCCTCCTTTTGTCTGTCTGTCGTTCCGAATGAGTGACATAACAAGTGGCAAAATTGCATCGTCCGTCATTTCAGTGTGTAACCATGTCTCCGTGATGCCGATGATATTTCTGGGAAACATGGCGATCTTTCAGTGCGGCCAGCTTATTGAAGTGGCTTCGTGTAAAGGCAAACTAGTTTCGCGGCCTGCAGTAGACCACAGAGAGTCAAGGAAGTCAGGCATGTGTGAGTGCCGACCGATGTGTGGTCGGCCGTTATTCGTTATTTTTGATGAGATACTGAGTCTACTTCCGTACCTTGCCCTGGCCAAGGCGCCTTGCAACCTCCATCTAGCTATACGTCAGTATGGAGTAAAGGAGGAATCAGCGCCGGTACGTCTACCTTGTCAGGTGATTTCGTAACGCTGTTGCGAGGCAACTTCAGTCCTTAACCGAAGTTCCGATGGAAAGCCTTTTTGATTTTTGTGCCAAATATGTAACACATCCGTCAATGCTTGTTCGGAGTGAGTGAGGAGTTTTGGGATTCTCGGGCCGCATCCTTTGGCGAGAGGTAATCTTTTGAGTGATCGCGCCACAACATTATCCAAGGAAAGGGTTTCGCGGATGTTTCTCCATTGTCCTAAATCGTGATTTACGGCCTTTTAACTATCGTGTGAAGTAAGCTGTGGCACACCATGGATGAACATAGTGTTTAGGCGATCAGGCTTGCTGTGTTCTTCTTTGGAGTTTTTTTGACTGCCACGAAACATCAGGATAGATACGTATCCCACAAGATCCATGTTGCAACGCGTTTGCGGAGAGCCGAAGATTTTAGACATCAATTGAGGGTTCTGATGTTATACTAATAAGTCTGAGCTAGCCAAGGTGTGCCGAATTCCGGTGACGAGTAATTCGTACGTTGATTTTTCATTATCGTTATGGGTTTCTTTAAAATTCGTACTTTGTGGGTTTGGCTTTTACTTTCATCAGAAAGCACAGTGACTCCCATTGGTTTAGGTCGTCGGACAATTGACATTGCAATATGATAGCTGAAGATTCGAGTAAAATTCGAGCACATAACAGTCAGGGCACTATTGTTAGATCCTTTTTCGCTGAGCTGTAAGTTTGGGGCCTCGTTTGTCCTGACTTGCTACCAAGTGATTCTTACTTATCGTTTGTCGCTCTATTCAAGTTAGCGATATTTGTAACAGAAGAGACTTAATGGGTGGCATTTCGGGTAAATGTTGCAGCAATCGCGGCACATGTGACTGGTATACTAGAGGAGTCTGGCTCGACAATATACCTCTAAGCTGAAGATGCTGAGGGTTGCTGTTCGACTAATGAGGTTACGAGTAGAAGACTGCAAGTAATGCCTGACAAGGTGACACTTGCAATTTATCGTTGGCTTGTGGTTTCCTTAAGCGCAATGTATATGGCAAGAAAAGCCACCGAATGGCTAGTCACCGAAATTGCTGGTGCACTGCGATTGCTCTGAGACTGCATCTGTCGGTACAACCGAACAAATCAGTGGTGATACTCTGTGATGTTAAACGACAAAACGAAGGGACAAATTCATAAAAGGAGTTTTCATTAGCAAAATATACACTGGGATGTGCAGAAATGTGAATGGTAGTTATCATAATCAAAACGTGAATGCGAAAGTGGCCTTCAAAAATGAAGAATAAAGTATTATGGAAATAAATGTATTCATCCCTGGGGTTGGTTCAAAGAAATGTTCCCCATTTAGGTATTCTGTCAGGCTGGAAGGTTTATGGGGGTCAACTTGTTTGCATTTCATTTGATGGGACTGTCAACCAAATCGACATTGTTCGTACTGTTGTCCGGTAAATTCGAATCCACAAAAGTGGTGTTAGAATCTTTTTGAGCGGCTATCATGGAGTGGATTTCTCTAAGATGCTCGGAATTGCTTGTTAGGTTTGCAGTTGCTGCTTTCACTGCATCGTATACAGATGGAAACGTTTCGACCTCTTCCGGCAGTTTTCCATTGCTGAGCAAAAGTTCCCTGAGTTGATCTGAAATTATTTTGGTTGGACTCATATGTAGTATTATCAGCCGAGTGAATCTATGGTGTCATGGTGTAAAGTCAATATAAGGGAATATAGAGGAGGATTGCTGCAATTAATCCCTAATTTGAGATCAATGAGTTGAACTTCGAAGTAGATCCTAGACTCACAGGTTGCTTTGAATAATCATGCCACAGTGCACTGCATCATGCGGTTACCCTTTCAAGGGTCAAAACATAGGCTTGCTTTAGCTTGCGGTCAGAGCGAAACTCCAAAGCACCCCCTGCGGTATTGTTCACAGTGACACAGATGGAAAAGTGTAAAATAGAATTATTGTAGATACAAGATGTTCGCATGGTCTACGATGTTAGTAAGCGTTCCAGTTGCTACATTTATCCTTCTAAGGAGATTAGGGTTTGGCACTCCCAGACAGGTGGTTAGCAAGTTAAGAGTCAAATTTGGATATGGTTGGCGGCATCCGGTTTCGGATTTGCCTGTCACTGTGGTCAGCCACAGGACGCCTGCGCCTACAGAGGGACCATGGATGGCTTGCGCTGCACCATCCACAGGTTCATCCACACACCCCATATCCAGTGTAAACCCGAAGGAATAAGACCGGGAGGCATGCGGATGGAAGCCACGTTTCATCAACGGAGCCGGCCCACACTACTTCACAGACAAACACAAGCACACTGTATTTGGGGAATCAAGAGCACACAAGGCGGTGGCTGGACCGTAGTCCGCTCCACACTGAGTGCATGGAACCACTCTTCGAGCCTAGCACGACCACAACGACCATGCACCCCGTCCCCTCCAGCAACGACCAACTGTCTCCTGGAGCCAGTATGGACGAGGTAGTGGGTATTAGACAGGTAGGCGCCTTGTCAACATGCACATCAAGCGCAGCCACACCTGGGATGTCAAACAATAGCCAATCATTCGAAAGGTCGATTTCGAATAAAGTAAACGCATATGACGACATAAATACTCGCTAAATGAGCATACGGGAGAAATTGGTTAAATGTGAATACGTGATAAGTACAAAATGTCCGAGTTATTTAAAAAATACCGCTCGATAAAATTACGCAACTTTACCACAATTTGCATGGGCGACGTGTGTAAGTTGGGAGAAAATTATCAAGTAGGCAGAAGAAAAATAAAATAAAATGTAATGAATTTTATCCATATTAAAAAGACCTAGTTTAAGTGTACGTTGGTTTAGCGCAACTGCGGTGAAGAAGCATCATGAATGCGACATCAGCCTCAGCATGGGGCACCGAATTCGGGTATAGACACTAACAAGCATGTCTGCCGTGCGTTCCTAGGAGATTTATACATGAGGGTTTCGAGAGCGGAAGCATAGTTTCGGTAGTCTACCACATAGGGCACATCGTTACAACCAGGCCATTGCACGCACTCAATTTTTCTCTGGGAGTGCATAACTTGTGGTTCACAAAAATCCCGTAAATTTGACACATAGCTAGGGGAACTTTGATAAAGGAGAGCAATGTTCTGAAATTAGATGCCGTGATCTAGCACATTTGGAACCATAATTCACACTAACGGACGGAAAGTGGTGGATTCAGATATACGTCCTTCTTGCAGTCTACAAGAAAGGTTATTTATAATAGCATGGTTGTATCCCATTTCCGAAGTGCTGCTTTAAATATACCACTATTCTCTCACCGCATTAATGCGTATTACCTTTTGATAGAAAGCATAGTCTACATCTTTGCGAGTCCCTTACAAACTAACCCATTAAACGCGTTAACCATATGATCTTTTAACCGTCATACACCAATGTTCCGTTGTACTAAATGACTTGAATAGCACTGAAACCCCAGGTTTATCCACTAAACCTTCCTGTCTTGATGCAACACGTGAAAAACAACCATCGGTTTCTCGTACTAACCTTTTAGACCGGCTAGAGAGATGCGGACACCGACCTTTTTATAGTCCTCAGTTATCTGCAAAAGTAAATCAAACAGCATATGTAAAGTAGTGGACAAGTTGCGTAAGGAATTTTAGTACAAAAAAGCTGAAGAAAGTTAGTGCAATAGCTAATGTGCCTTCAGTTTTAATTACAAAACGGTAGTTACGCTAAACGAAGTGTTGCTTCAGCCTGTTGAAACTTGCCCAAGTGTCTCAGTACACTGTTGAATGCAGTCCAGTTATTGAATAGATTTTGGCTTCTTGGTACAAGTAACTAAACGTGGGCAATGAACGCTTGGACACGAGTACACTTTGTGTGATCACTTAGTTAAGTTACCTGGACATTCGATATGAATAGCTAAACAAAGGCGAATCTGTATCACTCACCAGTTGATCGACCGGCGATAGCGCGGTAATCTAAAAGCCGAGGTTCGAGCCGCTGGTGGTCATGGGTTCGAATCCTGATGGATCCGATGGATGCGCACTACTGACGATGCCCAACAGGCTGAAACTGCAGTTTAGTGTTTTTCCGGGGCATGTGGACGACTATCCGATTTGGAAACTGGCTGCAATGAACCTCACTTAATCTGAAATCTACTCCTCTCTAGGCTGCACGATTGTAGGTTCTTTCCATTGCATTCACAATTCACCACGGAAGTTTTCGCAAAACAAATATTTGAGCCAAAAATATGTATAGGTGCATGGTTACTTTTTCTGCTGAGAGGCAGAAGCTCAAATTCACTTGCTGTGTATCCAAAACACAACAGTCGCGACATCAGTGTTAGTCTGCATTGCGATGATCCCGAAAAAGGTACTCTTTTACTATTACCTAACACTTGAATTTATTGGTCTCTGTACTTTCCGACTGGACATTTATGTTACCATTTGTACATATCCTGCGCATCCTGCTCGAACAGTACGCGTTAGATTACGCTTTGCTCTTACTGATTCCCTTTCCATTTAAAAGGTTTTCCATTCCCTGTTCTCCGTACCATTTACTTTAGGTACATTTGCCTTGGTTGCCTCGATCGTTCCAGAAATTGTGTGTATCACGCCGCCTTGCTAGTCACGTATTCATGCACTCTTTCTTTTTTCCACCATCACTCAGCCGCATTTTGTCGAATTTTGTTGGATTGATCTATACTTATTCTTCTTGCGCCTACAAACTCTGCCTCGTGGTACCATTATCTCATAAACACTGCAATTGCATCCCACACTTACCCTGAATTGCAAATTCCGAGCAGTGTTTCACCTATAATCCCCTGCAAATGGTGCCAACGTCCAACCGTCAGAAACATGTGATCTCACTCGACAGAGCATCTCAAATGCGTTCGAACAAACTCTTACTTCTCCAAGCTAATCATTGTCTGGTCAGCCACATGGTATTTTTCGCTTCTCTGCGGTGAACTCCTCTCAGCCTTTTGAGAAGTTCACCTTCGAGCCGGGCGACACAACTTCGTCAATTAAACCCTTGTGTGATCTGCCTCATACGCATGCAGACGCATGCAGACGCATTTAATCGGCACACCAGACGACGTCTATAGAAAGTTACAGGAAAGTGAAGTGAACCGTGTGACCTTACGCTCAGCAAGAGAACAGCTGCTGATCGTCAAGGATGAGTAAGTCTAATGTATCGTAACATGCGTTTATTGAGCGCGATGCCTAGCATGCCTCTGGCCAAAAAAACGTGCATCCTGTGCCAAACATGTCAAAGTGGGCGTTCTGAATTCCAACAGTCATGCGATTTCCTATGCAAAACGCATCAAAGTGAAATCTACCCGGGCCTAATTGTTTAACAAACCAGATTCTCTCTGGTTCTACGTAAAATGTATGTCGATACCACTGATAAAATACGGGCTCTGTTAATCTCGAGAGTACGAACAACCACTAGCCAAGTTTGAATAAATGCTGACTACCAGTCAACACAGTTAGGGTAAGCATAGCGAACTGTGAAACTCACGCGTCTACAGTAAGTGCGGCCTCATTCTTAAAGAGATCGGTTGTTAACAACATTATTAAAAATATACCAGTAATTTAGAAAATTAGTTGCTGTTAAAATACCACGGACGGCTCACATTCTATTAATGCCTTCGTTCGTTCGTTCGTTCGTTCGTTCGGTCATCCAATCTCCATAATGAGGTCATAGCAACAGCGCAAGCAGATAAAGTGAAAATTGAGTTACGTTTACTTCTAATAAGGGCCCACATTTTAAATCAGCAGTACCCTAACTGGATGGGAAACTAATGAGCGAAGCGGAGTTCTTCTGGTGTACGCACCTCCGGTTTCCTATGATACAGCCGCGAGCATTTCCATTCCTACCAGTGATATGTCAAAAGATGCAACAAAATAACAACAGCGTTTACCAAGCATACTGTTCTCCAGTATCCCAAAATCAATGTCGACGTCAATTAGGTGCAGGAAGTTGGATGAGCTCAACCAGTAAGACGTCAGTAACCTCCTCAGCGCTGTATTTAAACCGCTGCAAGTAGTACGAATCATGCGGCATCTCATCTTAAATTATTTAGGGGAGACAAGACTACTATGCGTTATGCTGAAGTTCAGCCCGACAGTTGAATCAGTTCTGCTGTCGGCAGGTACTCACATAAATGACCACTGTTCCATCTGTGTCTTTGCAGCCAGTCGATAGGGCGGACGTTATCGTAGTAACTGCAGCTTAGATGACCACCGGAAGGAACACTGAAACCGAACCATACTTTTCCAAAGCTTTCCTGAAAGTAAAGAGCGCAATGAGCATGAAATAACAACGCATAATAAGGAACGCTGGTGTTTTATTTGTGTAACCCTGTCCTTGGCTGACGCGATAGTGATACCGGTGTCATGGTTGCACACATCACCGAACTACAAAGGATGTAACCCAAGGGTGTTGAAGGTAGTTCTACAGTCAGCACACATGGTAACAGGGCTACTGAAAAGCCAGTGTATTTTTTCGATGCAGGATGTTATATATGAGCTTCGACTTAAAGCCATCATCGATATGCCCTCCATTGATGACATGTCACTCAAGGAACCAATCGCGATGGGAATTAGGATAGAGCACTGCACCAACAGTGTGTCTGGTAAACCCATACAATCGGGTGATGAAGTGAGCGACCAGAGAACTTATGCTGTGCGTAGAAGGTTGAAGTTGGGGCTAACTGCGCATCCGATGAATAAGGCGGTGAAACAGTCGCCAAGTATCTACCGAAAAATACGATTAGCCGGCGGTCACTCAATGGTCGGGGAAACTACACGTATAAATTGCACAGTCCTCAACACGTAACTGAAACCTGAGAAAATTTCATGCATGTACACTAGCGCCTAAGTACTCCTCAGTAAACTCACCGAACTTCTACTACGTAAGATTGTGATTGATTGGGAACTATTTCACATTAATTGATCCTGGTTTCACCAAGAAGTTGCCGATGCTAAGTTCAAGATAGCAGGAATGTCACTTATCCGAAACGACCGTGCCAGTAGAGGAGGTCGAGTCCTTCTGCACTACCGCAGTAGCCAGCAGTATACAGTGATTGATACTCCGCAGACTAATGTTATCGACTCATTCTGGTGCCATCTCCGAGTGAGTCAGAACGACGCATGTCTCGTAGCTGTCGTCTACCGCTCTCCAAACATCCACTCCGAAAATGGATTCAGGCTTGTTGCGTGTCTTGAACAGAATACATGCCCTAGGTACAGCTACATTTGCATCGCCGGTAACTCCATTGTACAGGACTTGGATGTATGGACATCTGCCAATGAACCGTTCGAAGAAGACTTGCATGAACTTATCGCTAACATTCCAATGTCAGTAATGACAGCTCGTCACAAGATTGAAGATAGCAAACATACTGTCCATACTGGATCTTGTGCTTACAAATGAGGAGCTCATGATTGATAAGTTATTCATGGAGAGTTCATTAGGTCTTAGCGAGCATATGGTCACGACATTAAATGACGTTTATTATGCAGAGTATTCATCTGAAGATACGGAATTAACTCATGAAATCACACACTGCCACATCACTAAAGAATTCGTCGAGACATGCACTTGGAAGTTCTAGAACATCAGTCCGCTGGACAACCTTTGGATAAAGTTCGTTGGAAGCTTAAGTGACATGGTCAACGGAGCATCAGAGACCAAGACCTTTAGTTCCACAAAAGTGCAGTCAATTCTACGCAACAGGAGTAAGATATGTATGGCAAAGGGGATGCAGTATGGCATGGATACAACCTAACCCAGTCTCGGAGCCTTGAGGTCAATTCCTGATGTATCACATCCACCGTACAACAATTGTCCATGAGAAAAAAGTAACTTATAACCAGTGCCTAGGCAAAATGTTTCTGTCAAACTTGATTGGCGGCTTCCGGTTTCGGATTCGTCTGTCACTATGGTGAGCCACACGACGCCTGCGCCTACAAAGGGACCATGGGTACCTTGTGATGTACCACCCAAAGCTCCATCCACACACCACGTATCCAGTGTAAACCCGAAGGAATAAGACCGGGAGGCGTGTGGATGGAAGCCACATAACATCAATGGAGCCGGCCCACACTCTTTCACAGGGCAAACACAAGCACGGTGTATTTGGGGAATCAAGCGTACACAAGGCGGTGGCTGGACCGTAGTCCGCTCCACACTGAGTGCATAGAACCACTCTTCGAGCCTAGCACGGCCACAAGGACTGTGCATCCCGTCCCCTCCAGTAATAATCAACTGTCTCCTGGAGCCAGGATGGACGAGGTAGTGAGTAATAGACAGGTAGGCACTTTGTCAACATTCACATCAAGCGCAGCCACACCGGAGATGTCAAACAACGGGCAATCAATTGAAATAGCATTATCAAATAAAATATATCTGTTAAAGCCTACGGCTATGCAGACATAACTCTTCGTTAAATTAGCGTATGAAGTAAGTTGGTCCGAGAGGAATACGCGATAAGCACAAAATGTTACACACGTTACTCACAAATGTTACAAACGCAATAAATTCAACGAACATTACCACACTTAGCGTATGTAACGTGTGCAAGTTAATAGA